TTTTTTTTTTTAATTCATGAGAGAAAGAGAGAGGGAAAGTGAGAAAGTAAGAAAGCAAGCTGCCAGATCCAAGACTCGAACTGCAATCAGCCATGTGCGAGTCCAACACCTTAACTACACCACCACCTGCTAGCCCTCTGTTGACTTTCAAGGACTTCAAGTAGATGTAAATTAGACATTTTCATTCTGTTCTCCACAGGCTAACTGGTCTTTCATACTATATGACCTTGGTCTTACATCTCTCTGTCATATACTAGGTGATTTGGGTAGGTCTGTCTTTCATGAAGCTAATTTTCTCTCCAGCTGTCTGTCTCATTGCTACTTGCCACTACACCTTGTCTAGTTTCAGGTCTAGGTTCTTTTTTTTTTTCCCAGAATCAGTTATGTTTTATTTGTTACATAATAAACCACTTACATCTTTCAGCTAGAAAAAACAGTAAATTTGAGTAAAGACATTATAAAATGAATTAGGGTCCAATTAAAATTTGCTTTATGGGAGAGGACACCCTAATTCTACTCAGTTAAGAAAAACATTTTACAATCCAGAGTTCCTTTTATTTAATGCCTATTATGCCATGAATTCATAGGGATAAGTCCCAAAAGCTCAGGCTCCTTTCCATTGGTTCTCACAGGTGTGCTTCTCTGGGTGGAGCAGACTGGTGCTTCAGTTGAACCCAGGTACCTTTCTCTTCGGCTTCCCTCTTTTTCTGATAATTTTTCTTTACACATTTTAAGAAGCTCTCTCTGCTCTTTGAGTGCCAAATACACTCAATACTCACCTTAATTCTCCTGGCCTTAACTTGTTTACAGGAGTCCCAAAGCATGCTAGTTAACATTGTTGACTCTTCCAGTTTTGTCATGGTAACATTTATGGAGCATTCCTTTTTTTTTCTTTTTTCTCTTTTTTTGGGGGGAGGGGAGAGGTTTTTGCTATAGGGCACGTGCACTCACCAGAGAGACAGAGAGACAGAAAGTGAGAAATCACCCCCCAGGGTGAATGGCCATGCCACAATCCTTCCTCCTCCATGCTCTTCTCGGGATCTTGAGCACGCATGCACACAATCCCAGCGTGAGTTTTAGCCACTGGGTCTGGGACTTGAACCACCTTGACTACATGGGAGTCCAGCAACATAGCCATTACGCTTACTGCTGGTCCCTGGAGCATTCCTTTTTGAACAGTACCCATTCCCTTGATGTCTACAATATTCCCTTTTGTAGACATTTGTGGTCAAAGGAACAACTCTATGTTTTTCTAAAAAGCCTAGAAAAGGTATTGGGCTAAACTAATATGCACTGTACTCATGCTGGGAAAAATCATCATGTACACTGTAAGAATATATAGTGATTAGATGTAAATAATAATAAATTTAAAAGGTGTAACAGTGGTGTGATGTTTAAGGCACTGGACTCCCACATGGCCAACCACGGTTTAAAACTCAGCAGCTTGAAAATCATGCCAAGCACATCTGTGTGCATGCCCAAAATCCCAAGAGGAAATGAGGAGAAGGGATTGCAGTGTGGCCATCCCAGCTAGGAGGTAATTTCTCACTTTCCTTCTCTTTGTCTCTCTCTCTCTCTCTGGTGATTGCACGTGCTCTATGGAAAAATTTAAAAACTAAATAAAGGGAGCTAGCAGTTGGCATGGCGATTAAGGGTGCTGGACACCCACATGGCCAACTGTGGTTCAAGTCCCAGACCTGGCAGCTTGCTTTCTCACTTTCCCCCTCTCTCTCTCGCTCTCACTCTGTCCTTCTCTGGTCAAATGAAAATAAGTGAATAAATAAAGTTAAAATAAAATAATTCTTTAAAAAAAAACTAAATAAAAATTTTTGAGTGGTTTTAGCTATAGGGTGCATGCATGCACCAAAGAGACAGAAAGCAAGAAATCACCCCCCAGGGGGATGGCCATGCTGCAATCCTTTCTCCATTCTCCTCTCGGGGTCTTGGGCATGCATGCACATGCACCCGGTGTGACTTTAAGCCATCGGGTCCGGGACTCGAACCGCGGTCAACTACATGGGAGTCCAGCGGCATAGCCATTATGCCAACTGCTGGTCCCTAAATAAGTTTTTTTTAAAAAAAGA